AAAATGCATAATTAGTAAGTTAAAATGCATAATTAGTAAATCAAAAAGTTATTTTATGTAACAAGAATATGAAGATGGAATTTATATCCAAACAAATCTAATTCTTTAGTACATTACATTAAAACTGGTGAAACATACAACTAAAATATTAATTAACTTTACCTTATTATTAAGTTAAAAAAAAGAAGACAGGAAGTATAGGTGGGAAATGGAAGGTAAGGAAATGGGTGTGAAAGCCTAGGCCCTAGGGAAGAAGGACTGAGGTTGAGATAGAGGATGATACAAGAGGAATGGTAAAGATGTGGGTTACATGAATGGGATAAAAATCTGAACAATGACAACCACAAGCAAGGAAGAGAAGAAATTAGGTCATGAGGGAGGGAAGGTAGGTGGAACATTAAGAAAAAAGCTGAAGCGTAGGATGGGAAAGGGCATAAAGAGCCACATTGAGATCCCAATAGGCAAAGCATAGAAATGGAAGGGACAGAGGAAGTCAAAACCCAGAAGAAATGGAAGGAGACAGACAATGTTGCCCGAGAGCTGGACATGGACGAAGTGGACAAGCCTTTGACAAACTATCGGGTGAAGAATAGGGAAGAGTGGGAAGGACAGAAACCATGGTGAAGAGACAAAATTCAGAGGTATACTAACATTAGTGGGAAACAGATATGGAAAAAGGTCTCATGGATTCAGAAGGAAGAATGCAAAATGTGGAGTCAGATTCTGGGCTGAGACAATGGACAAGTTCCTGTGTGAAAACAGAGAGTGGTGATATCTGTGGAACAAGAGACCACTTTGTAATGAGAATCTTGTTGAAAGATAATTGAACCATCACCAAATGGAAGGAGCCAGGAAAAAGGCATGCAAAGACCATAATGTAATGACAGTGGGCTCAGAAAAGAGACCCAAGATTTGAAAGCACTGAGACCATGAATTGGTACCCCCTGGCTCTGTGATATAAGTGACCACAGTGGAGAAGTGGAAATATACCATCACCACCACCCTTCATAGGAGAGGAAGGAGGTGGGACAAGGTTTGACGAACCACCAACTGTTTGAAAAAGATGATACGGAGAAAGACTCTTTGATTGACCAGTGACTGGAAATCTCCAGGGAGACAAGATAAGAACCTTAGCCCCTTAGAGAGAAGTATGGGAACAGACATAAATCTGGACAAGGCGAAGTAAGCAAACACCCCCACTGTGGTCTGGACTTTGTTCAACCACCAAGCCAAGGATCTGAGGAGAAGTTCTACTGATCAAGGAGTGTTCACCAAATGGAATGCATACGAGTCTGACAAATGAGAATGAGAGCTTCCAAGAAAACTCACATCCGCAAAGAGATAAAACATATCAAGCCGTAAAAAAAAGGTGAGGGGCATGTAAACTGCACCCTCCAAACTTAAAGCACAATCAAAAACTGTAGTTACACTCGCACAAATTAAACACACATCTAAACTGTGCCATGCCTATTGAGAAAGTAAGGATTGAGCAGAAAAAAGCAGAGGGAGCCAGCTGCACTGTTATAGGTGGCACAGTAGTATTAGTAGAGAGTATTCACATGATATGTACATGTTCAGAAATGGTGCAAAACTGGTGCACTTATTACTAAAAATTCTTTTAGCAATGCTTAGATGGAAGACAGCAATCAAGACAGCTTTTGTGTGAGGGGAGGTAAGTCTATTTTGGAATTCCATCAGAGGTAGGTAATATTGTAAACTAAAGATCTCAATAAGTGTTTTACTTATTAATGGGTGAGTAGATTGTAGAACACATATTTCAAAATATTAAGTTAAACTGTAGCCTGTTTTATTGAAACTAATGTGCATATTTCCTACATCAAATAATTAGCAGCAAGTAGAATTTAGGTTTAGAGCATTTGCATATCTGTAAACAACTGAAAAATAACTCAGTCTGGTGTAATTTAAGGCAAAAAAAAAGAATTCTAGTTTGAAAGTTAAAAAAATTCCACTATTATATCAATCTTATTATTAAGAAATACCAATGCTCTCTTTTTCTTACCTCTATCTTTTTTAAAGAATAGTTATAACCCCCCCAAAAAATAATAATAACTGACTACTACTTTATTTCTCTAACTCCTCTATATATGTTATATACCTAACTGAAAAATGTCAAATTAATGAAAAGTTAGGTACACTCATTACTTTCTTCCTGAAAAAGCTTGAATAATTGTAATATGATTCAAAATCTTTTATAAGCCTTATAATATCACACACTAAACTTTTCTGAATGATCAAAAACTATATCTATTAATATATCCATTGTATCTTTCTTTCTATCTCTACAAACAGGCATATACATTCAGGATCATTAACAATACCTCATAATATCAAGGAACACTTGTAGAGCATTGAAAATAAACCAAAAATTTTTTTCACCTGTGCTGTTCTATCCCAGCCATCACTGCAGTGTACAACAACTGATGTCTTGTTACTCTCTACTTTGTCAGCAACTCGCAAAGCACCTGCTAGAATACATCGGACATGTTCCAGCCAGTGAGTCGCTTCCAAGTTAGATAACCACCGATATTCATCAATAGAGGGAAAACAAACTTCTTTCAACTTACGGAGGCTTTCACGCATTACATGAATATTGTGAATGTCTAGAAAAACAAGCTCTGCATTTTGGTAAGCATCTTCACTTTCATAACCACCACCTTTAGCCTGTAAAAGTTAACTTCATAATCTTAAAATGTTAAAATTGATGCTAGTACGAAATGCATGTTTCAGACAAAATGTAAGTCGTTCTCCAGTTAATAAACAAGTTAATCAGTTGTAAGATGTAATGCGTTTTCTTCAACACTGCAAGAATATATGAGGGCAAGCGAACAGTTATACCAGTATTTTAAATAACAGTTTTAACAATATTTTAGTTAACATTGTTACAACAGTATTTTATCCATTATAAATTCCAACCATATGCACTTATTTGAATAAATTTAACAACTTTCATATACATGATACATACATATAATAATAACTATGTAGTGCACAAACAAGTTTGTTTTCAATGAGAAAGAAACAAGAGATCACAACATCCTTAATATAATCTTAATAAACTCATGTAGAAAAGAAAAGTTACAGCATGAATACTGATTTATATGTTTAATAGTATTAAATAAAGCAGCTTTCTAAGTACAAAGTTGCTACTGATAAAACATATTTATGTAGACTGAATTTTTTTTATTATATCTGAAACCAAAACAAGAGTATTAAAATATCATAAAGCCATAAACATATATTTTCTATGAAATACAAACGTGAATGTGCCATTTTTAAATTGTTTTCTTCATCTAAGTGTGAAATTTTAATATGGTACAACAAAACACTCTTTAGAGACAGAAGGTAGGAAACAGCTAGAAAATACAAGTTGGCTTGTTAGTGCTCAGACCAACATATTTTTTATACACATCATGCAAATTAACTAGGCCACCACTACCAAAATAACGAAAATGTACTAGAATTGTAGAATATACATGTACTTTTTGGATATTTTATTGAAAATTTAGCTACATGGAGTAGTGTTTTGACATATATGAACAAATTTCTTAACTTATTATACAAAATGTAATATACCTTGTTGGCAACTGCATTCACACTAGGTCGTGCATCCATAATGAATATCTTGTGAGACTGTGCATTAGCATCCATAATCATTTGAATATATCGTTCATCATCTTTACTTCGCTTTCCACTTACTCCTACCTGAGGCTGACTACAACGAGTGATAGTAGCTTGGCTCTCTGGATGGATCCATGAAAGTACCTGTAAAAAAGCACCAAGTTACCATTATCTGTTTGTAATATCCTTGAATAATGCATATTATCCAGCTGCTTAAGGTTTGTATACTTCCTGTTGTTACTTTATATATAATTTAATATACTGCCAATCAAAGTAACATAATACCAAAAGATAGTGAAATGCAAAATGTATATAAACAAGGTATAGTTTTACTTCACTAAAGAGAAAACCCTAAACCTGACTGCTTTTACAAAGTTCACCTTTCAAAAACATTTGGGTTTTGGTTTTTCTTTTTATTCTAATTTATTTTTACAATCCTATGTGTCTTATTTTTTTTCGTTATTAATAAGTTTAGCTTAGTTAATCATTTATGTGGGAAAAAAAATTTAATTTTAATCTTTAGTGTTTTTATAAATATTCAAACAAAGGTAGTGACTTATAACTATGTTCCATTGTATAAAACTTTAAAATACTTATAAGACAAATTTCTTTAAAGCCTCTATAAAGTTATAAGTAGCATAAAAATTTAAACTTGATGTATCATCAACTTGCCTTGACTTTTGGACTGCATTATTAAAACAAAAAAAAAGGTTTCAGTATTACATTAATAAATGCTTCAAAGAAATACTATATTTTCCAAGCTAAAAAAAGCACTTACAGGAATCCTTCCTCTGCTTCTAAAGTTTGCTACTGAACGTAAGTCATCATCTGTAGCTGCTGCAGGAACTGCAAGCTGAATAAACACATGAATATGTAAACTTATCTTTCAAGAATATTAGTAACAAAAGCTTTTGAAAAACATAAATCTATAACACATTTAACTTCCTAACTGCCCACTCTTCAATGTTTTATTAATTTTACAAACAAAATTGACAAAGATATAACATAACCTTTGTAAAATCTGGTGTTTGTAAAACTTACTCTAATAATCAAATATTATGAACTGTAAAATATCATTATCCTTAAAAATAATCGACACTTATTTTAATTCCTGTATATTTATAATACTGAAAGTATTTCAGTAACATGAGTTTTAGCTTTGTGTAGCAAACACCCAAAATGTGAAATTGGTAAAAAGCTCTATCAGTGTTTGTAAAGCACAGGTAAATAAACTGCAAGTATTTATTAAAACTGTACAGTATTTATACATTGATTGCTTTAAATTATATGAAGGCAGACTTACAATTGCTGGGTAAGTATCACAAAGCTCATAGTTTTCATTGATTTTTGTTATTTTCCAGCTTTCTGTTGGTAGCCCCTACATAAAATATAAAATGAAGAGTAACACTTTTCAATCAACCAAACATATTCTAACTTGCAAGAGTATATAATACACTATATGTATATGAACATTGTAAGTTATAATTTTCCTATACTGAAAATGTATTTCTGATAGATACTTACCTATTCTTGTTCAGTGCTGCCCTCTATCTGCAAAAGTTTTTTGCACATGTCACAAGCCTTGAAGCTTTTACCCATACAAATCATCATGTGACAAACCTCAAACAATAAGAGTGTGACATACTTTCTTGACGCATGTGACTCCCTCTCTTCAATTCCGCCAAATTATCACTTCGAGTTTTGGCAGAAAACAGAAGCACCAGTTTTCAGTGGGGAGAAGGGGTGTGAAGTTTGAGAGGAGGTAAGTAGCTATCGGAAATACATTTTCAGTATAGCAAAATTATAAGTTCTGATATGGTACATAACCTCTTTTCACATAAATAGCTAGAATCCCACATTAAACAGGTGGAGAGATCAGTGCAAGTGAAATAAAGAAGCATCTTTTGAAAGTGTCCAAAGGACATCCCCAAAGAGATCTTTGGAGTCAAAGATAATATATGGGAGACTGTACTACTTCTGTACCAGGTATACTCTTCACCCACTGCAGAAAAAGGTGTCACAGATATGGGTAGAAATAGGGAGTAGCACATCCAATAGGGAGAGAACTATGGTTGGATAGGGATCCAAACCACACGATACATGAATCTCAATCCTATGATACATAAGTGTGGGTGAGAGTAAAAGGATGTGCCTCCAGGTGTAAGTGGCTAGTGCATGACAGACTGTACATGGCAAGTCAATTACAATCCAAAACCTAGCCACCAGGAACCAACATCCATGTGGGGTAGGAAAGAGGATCATACTACCAGCAAGTTAACTGCAATCGAAAACCCAGCCATCAGGTGGGGGTAGGAAAAAGGATCATATCATCTTCACCTAGAGTTCATGAGACTGGAGGGAATCTTCGTACCCCCCCCCCCAACCTATGAATGGGGCACTTGGTAGCAATGTGAGAAATTGATCCGGGAACCCGACATCCAGCATCTAAAAGATGTCTGTGTGATGTAAACCATATTACTCAAAATCAAAATGACAGGAACCATCTCAAGCAAAGTAACATCCTCAGAATAATAAAAACATTGAAAGATAGCAGAAGGAGAAGAACCGTCTTAATCTGCAAGTACCTCCACTATGACCCACACCACAGATGGAGTAACAAGAGTATAATTGAGTGAGGGAATAGAGACATCTGTAATACATGTGTTGATTGGTTGAGCTCTAAATCCAAAACCCAGCCACTGGGAACAGACATCCACGTGGGGAAAGGATGAGGGATCCCAATCGAAGGGGTGAACTGTAATTCTGATAGTCACTCTCAAGATATATAAAATGGAGGACAACTCATCATCTACGCCATAGAACATAACCACCCTACTCTCAACAGAATGGTTTAGTTTATATATTGAGTCCATTATCTCATTCAGGAGGATGCCTCCATGGTCCTCCACCCCAGCAGCTTGGAACTAGAAAGTAGTAAGGACTTCTAAACTCCACTAGCAGAAAAGGAGGGGGGGGGAGAAATAGCAGTGAAGAGTCTGGAGGTACAACAATACCTGAGATAGTGCAACAGGAGACCACGGAACCCTATTTTGAAAAGCAGACAATACCAATTTATTCAATACAAGGCATGGCAGGGATGGGCAGCTATCCCCTTCTGTTTTACCAATGTAGTCCATAGGTGAGTACAGTCTAGGACGGTCAAAGTAATGAAGCAAACATATCATGAGGATAAACCTACAAGTGATCTTGTGGAACACTCTATCTCAGCAGTGTACATTTATTAGCCATGGAATTATAATTGTTAAGTCATTATTGCCTAATAGTTTTAGCAGAAATAAATAAAAATGTTTGTAATGAAGTAATAAGTTCCATAACCGAGCAGAAGTATAAAAACTCAACAAGTTAAAAATATCACTATTGTATAATAAAAAGCAAACTTGTTGAGAGAAACTAATACAAAGATACAGAAAAAAGTAAAACGCTTGAAGAGAGCACAAACTAAATGTTACTATTTGAGTACTGCCAATTGAGAAGTGATAGTTCGGTAGATTTGAATAGACGGAGTCACATGTCAAGAAAGTATGTCTCACTCTTTATTGATGGTTGTTGCATGATGATTTGCATGCAAAAAAGCATTGAAATCAGTCAATTCCAGATGGGTGGAAGCTTCAAGGCTTGTGACATGTGTAAAAAGTTTTGCATATAGCAATGAACGAGAATAGCTATTTATCACATTTCAAAATGCTACATAGCTTTGTTATCTAGTAAGTAAACACCTAATTTTATTGGAAGTGTACAGAACAAATTTAATAACATACTCACCAAGGCAACTTCAAATAATCTACATTTTTCATTAAAATGAAAAACATTGTTAAATAAAACTAAGCCTATGAGATACTGAATCACACAACAGTTATAATTTTCCTATACTGAAAATGTATTTCCAATAGGTACTTACCTCCTTTCACATAAATGGCTATTCTAGTTCAGTGTTACTCTCTATATGCAAAACATGTTTTTATGCATGCCACAAGCCTTCTGCCTCCCCTCTATTTGAAATGACTCATTCCAATGTGTGTCTCATGCAAGTTATCATGTAACAACCCTCTACCAATGAGAGTGCCACACACTCTCATTATGCATGTGACTCTCTCTATTCAATTCTACCAGACTATCACTTCAAGTTTTGGCAGTAAATGGAAGCACCAGTTTTCAATTGTGAGGAAGGGTGAGAAGTGTGAGTTGAGGCAAGTACCACTTGGAAGTGCATTTTTAGTATAAGAAAATTATAACTTCTGATACGGTACATATCTCCACTCACATAAATAGCTAGAATCCCACATTGAAAAGGTCAAGGGACTGGTGTGAGGTAAGAAAAAAAGCATCCTTCGAAGTGCCCCCAGCTGTACAGTGGCTAAGGTGCGATGGATCAAACTTGGCAAGTCAACTACACCCAAAACCTATGCTGCTGGGAACTGACATCAATGCAGGGGTAAGATGAGGATCTTATCATCTTCACCTCAAGTTCAGGAGATCAGAGAGGATCTCAAACCTCCCTGACTCTAGAACAGGGTACATGTTAAGAATAGAAAATGATATATCGATCTGAGAATCTAACATCCGGTATTGAAAAGATGTCTACCATACAGAAATCAACTCCATTAACAGTGAAATTGACTGGAACCAATCCAGGTGTAATAAAATCCTTGGAATAAGACACAATGATAGAGAGCAGAAGGAAAAGAACGGTAAAAATCTCAAGTACTTCCACTGTGACATCTGTAATACATGTGTGAGGACTTATGCTGATTGGTTCAATTCTAAATCTCAAACCCAGCCACTGGGGAATGACATTCATGTGGGGTAGGTTGAGGGGTCCAAATCTAAGGGGTTAACTACAATATGACATCTCATTCCTTTGGTTGTTGTATGCTTTATTGTGGAGAATATCACATCATCTACACCAGCAGAACACCACTGCCATACTCTGCATTGAATGGTATTTCTGTATTGATTTATTTCATTAAAGCATTAAGGAGGATACCTCCATGGTCCACCACCCCAGTGGCTTGAAACTGGAAATTGGTAACAACTCCTAAGCTCCACAAGAAGAAAAAGGGGGGTGAAACATAGTGGAGAGTCCAGAGGAATGTCAACACCTGAGACAGTGCAATTGGTGATCATAAAACCCTAATTTTAAAAGCAGACCATACTAATTTATTCAATAGAAGGCATGGCAGGGATGGGCAGCTATTTCCATTTGCTTTACTCATGTAGTCCATGGGTGGTATGGTCCAGGATGGCATATTTATGATGCAAATCCATCACAAGGATAACCTTCAAGTGATCTTGTGGAACACCCCATTTCAACAGTGTGCATTGCATGACCTTGTAACATAATAAACAAGTCGACATAGGTGACCAGTACGGATTTTAATGGTTAAAGAATACCTGATTAGGCACCACTCGCCACAATATAGGATTCACACATTGAGTAATTACCATGAAAAGGGGAAATAAGACCCCTGAAAAAAAAATTAAAGAATAAAAAATAACTTACCCAGTCTAAGTTACACGGAAGTCTGAAAAAGGCTACAAGTGGAAAACAATGGCCCGAATAGGAAGAAACTGTGATCCTATGCAAGTAATGAGAGACAAATATATTAGGAATAGTTCACATGGCAGTTGAAGAAGTTCCTCCAGTGGACGGTGAAGATGAGATGCCAGGGAAAAGGTAAGGTGTCGAATTTGATGAGAAGACACCTGAAACAAAGTACAGGAAGATGACAAAACAGAGGAATAAGCCAATCGCATTATAGGTCCAAACCAAACTGGTGAGAGTTGAAGGAGATAGATCACAAACTGGGGATGGTTGCCAAGGGATAAAGAGGCAGGAATGAACATCACGGATGAAAGCCATGCGGGCAACATAACATTGAAGAGCACATACAGGACATAGAAGTCTATCAGGATCAGGCCAAGGATAAAGGTGGGAAATGGAAGTAAAAGAAATTGGCAAAAAGGAGGGGTTACCCTACCTAGCCTCTAAGGTTTTGAGGAGCAAAGTATGATCCGCATAAAGGAGAAGATATGTAGCATGATAAAGAGTATGTGAAACACTGATGGCAAACAAATCAGACCACCGACATCCACAGGCTAAGAGGAGAAGGAAATAAGACTTAAGGGAAACATGAAACAAGGAACACGTGGAAAGTAGTTCAAACGGAGACAATGTGAGGCAATGGAGGACCACATTAACATCCCGTCCAGAAGGATTGTATCCACAGGGAGAGTGTAGGAGAGGTAACTACCCAATTGTATCAGGAAAACAAAAGGTGTGAGACAATGCCACATGATAACCAGAAATTGAGGAAAAAGAAGATCCCCAATCAAAAAGTTAAGTAAGAAACTCAGCAATACAAGGAACAGTGGACCAGTAAGCTGAAAACCCCAGCCCAAAGATCAATGGCAGAAAACGTTCCATTTACACTGATAAACTTCCGTGGAAGAAGGGTGAATGGAACAGGCCAGAAATGAAGCTACACATCAGGACAAGCCTGATCTCCTCACCAAGGACTGCATAAAAACCAAGTTTGAAGATGGAGGACAGGAAGAGCAGGATGAAGCACCAATGACTGAAGTTGCCAAATAAGGGGAGGAGAAAGAGGAAGAGGGGTAAGTTGTAGCTGGATAAGTCGAGGAAACCATGGCTGAGCTGGTCATTAAGGAGCAATCAGAAGGACTTGATATGGAGCAGTGTGGATGATCGAAATCACCCGGTGAAGAAGTTGAATGGAAGGATAAACGTATAGGTATTTGTTGGTCCAATCCTGACTGAAAGCATCATCAGCCAGGGCAAGAGGATGAGGAACCAGAAACCAAAACAGAGGTAATTTGTGGTTGAAGGCTGTGGCAAAGGCATCGATGTGAGGAGTACCCCACTGATGGCAAAGCCATCAGAAAACAAAAGGATCAAGAGACCACTCCATCAGATAGATTTTGTCTGGATAAGAAAGATGATCCATGACAAAATTGAAAGCACCTGGAACATGACACGCAATGATATGGATATCTTGCGTGTGTGCCAAGAAAAGAAAATCCAATGTATGAAAACACAGAGATGGAGAATGGGTGCCATCTTGATGATTGAGATAAACAACCACTGTGGAATTGTCGGAATGAATCCTACTGGATGGAGGAAATGATCCAAGGCCCGATGTACAGCTATAAGCTCCAGAGTGTTGATATGATAAGACTTCTTGGTCACAAACCAACATCCTGAAGCCTCTTGTTGGTCGACCCATGCCCCCATCTCTGGAGGGAACCATCCAAGAAAATATGTAAATCCGGATGAGGAGGAGGAAGCGGGACACTTGCTAACGTGTGGGTCCTGTCCAACCATTAATGTGGATTGTCAACTATGGCAAGAGGAAGGGTAATAAGAGCTTGCAAAGGATCCCATGCAAATTTCCACTGAAGAGCATACATATGAGCATGACCTATGGGAATAAGTGCAGCGATGGAAGACCACATCCCAAAAAGTGATAGTACCTCACGAGAAGTAATAGAGGAAGCAGTAAGAACATGGTGAACTGAAAGCTTCATCGAACAAATTCGAAGAGGAGAAGGTTGGGCCCGACTGAGATGGGTGTTGAAAAAAAACACCCAAATGGACCAGATATTAGGTAGGTTGAGGAAAGACTTCTCCAATTTCATTAACCAGCCCAGTCGAGCTGCCTCCCAAAGAAGCTAAAGAGTATGATGTGCAGACTCCTTTTCGGAACAAGCTAACAGCAGCCAGTCACCCATATAATAATGAAACACATCCCAAGAGCATGGACATGACAAGCAAAAACTCGAACCACCCAGCAAAAAACATACAGGGCTGTAGCAAGCCAAAAGGGTAGTGCACAAAACTGATAACTAATCCCTCGATGGATAAACCGAAGATATATAGGGATATGTAAATAAGTATTTGTGATGTCCATCTTGGTCATCCATAAACCTGGAGTAAAAGTCCACCTGAGGGTGAGAAACAATTCCGTGGTAAAATGGGGGAGATTGAGAAATTGATTGAGACAGGTTAAATCTATGACAGGCTGCCAGTCTCCAGTTTTCTTGGGGATAAAAAACAGCCTGGAATAAAAACTAGGAGAAAGATGATTCACAGGTTTGATGGCCTGTTGAGATGGAGGGTCTTGAACCGCCTCTGACAGACACTGGCTGGTAATAGGATCTGTGATGAAAGATCACCAAAGCAGAACAAATTTAAACAATCTAGCTCCCATGGGTAGGCACCGGTACTGGGCCGATCTACATTGAAGAAAATGATGAGATAAGGAACCCCTGGGAGAAGGAACAGGTACGGGCTGAGAAAGAGTAAGACAGGAAATGGGAATAGGGGCTTGTCGTGGTTCCAACTGCGACAAACAATCTACCAGGTAAGAAAGGGTAGACTGTTGATGTAGGAATTCTACACATTATTCCAAAGTGTCAGGAGCATGGTTGAATACATACCACCAATGAAAAGGGGCTATACATATTTCCCTGAGATAAGTGCATGGCAAACGAACCTGGGACAAGGCTGCATCATGACCCAGACAATCCCAGCAACAGAGAAACCACATGTGTTAGGCAAGAGCCGAGGACGACAAACAAGCCAATGTGGAGGTAATAAGGGTAGAAGCAGTCCCTCAAAGAATCATCAGGATTTTGGTGCATAGCCTCGGAAATGAGATGTATGGTAGATAAATACTGGAGAAGTGAAGTAAGGGTAAGTTGAAGGTGCAAAAACTGGGCATGGGTTAAATGCACTAGAAAATCAGGGAGTACTCCCCAAACTGGCAATATAGACCTCAACTGCTGAGAGTCTAGAAATGGACAGTCAACTTGATGGTACGCCAAAGCAAACTGATCCGTATCCCGTGGGTAACAAAGGAGGACGGGGATCACAGGAAATTGGGAATAGGGATAAAACATCACATACCTGAGAAATCATGTCTAAAAATGCCTTATTAGGCCTAGTGGATATTAGAAGACATGGCAAAATCCAGATTTGGAAGAAAGACTATCAAAATCTTCATCAGACCAAACAGATTCAGCTTGTTGTTGAGGAAGTGGGACTAGTTCAGGAGAAGGTGGTTGACCCATATATTGATCAATCTCTCAGTGAAAAATTGCAGATAAATTCAACGATGGGTCACCCACATCTGCCTCGAGTGAAAAAGTGCTTGTAGGAGGTATGATACCCAAAGTGGTAACATTAACCTCAGAATTCATGGTAAATAATAAATCAAACAAAACATCTGATAGGTACGAGAGAGAGAAAAAAAAAGACTGGAAAGTGAATTGAAAATAAAGGCATCAGCTGTTTAATCAAAAACGATTAATAAAGAAAACCACTTCGGAAGTATAACTATTTAAGTTTTAAAGACAAAGCACACTAAAGCAAACTTTTAAATGTCTAAACACGAGCACTGCCAAACAAGAAGTGCTAGTCTGGTGGAACTGAATATGTTTAACAAGTGTGTGTGTGGCATTCTCATTGGTGAAGGGTTGTCAAATGATAATTTGCATAAGACACACATTGGAATGAGTCATTTCTAATGGAGGGGAAGCAGAAGGCTTGTGGCATGCATACAATTTTTTTTACATATAGAGGGCAGCACCAAACGAGAATAGCTGTTTATGTTAGTGGAGGTAATGTATCGTATCGGAATACATTATACAGAACACATTGAGAAATGTTACTGTAAAATACATTGATGTATAACTACTAAAACATCTTCTTGCAAGCATTGCATGTAATATGGTACCAAGAACATAATCAGATTTATCATGTCAATTTTTTAGTTTTATTTCTTAAGTAGATTTTGATAACTGTAAAATATGCAATGCAGATTAAAATATATGATAAACAGTTATAGAAAAGTTTAAAAATTTCCAAAAGAAACAAGATTCTACAGAACCAATCATCTAAGCAAATAAAATCAACTTATATATGCAATTTCTGATGTACATACCTGTCTTTTGTATTCAGCAATAGGTTCATAAACAGTCCAACCATTCACAGGATATTTTTCTTGAAATTCAAAAGCAAATATTGGCTGTAGAAATAGTTGTTTAAATTAGTACAAAATGCAGAATGTTATACATATATGTGAATTTGAAACTACACATTCCTCTTTTTAGGAAGTGAACTTAAGTCATTGAAAAGAGTATTAGAGTTCTGAAATGGAAATAAACATTATGGTAAAAGCATTGAATTTGTCAATATTAAAACAGTACTTTTTAAAATACTTTATGTTTTATACATGAATCTGGCTAAAAGCAACTACAAACAAAATTAATAAAAATATATTTTGAATATATTTCAAGTGAGAAGTATAACTCATTAAATATTTGTACACTGCATATATCCATCTACAGAACTATGTGTACACCACATGCTCTGTATTGGATCATTATGAACCTGTAATGATATAAAATGTTTTGGCTCATTATTTTTTTCTTTGGTACTGCATTACATTACCAACTAATAATGATTCATATAATATAAAAAATTCAAAAGATTACTTTTAAATTTGTATAAATATTGTAGAATGAAAAGAAATAAAACTCTTGTTAACATTGCAGCATGCAAATGTATGTTCACAGCAACATCACCAAAATTTAAAATGTGAGAAAAAAAAAGAATACCCAATCTTTGAAAAGGTTTATGTTTTGACTTTAAACAGTAGAAACATGTGCACTCACCAACCAGAACCAGTTAGGTGTTTTAAAATAATCTAGGTTAGTCTAAATGATAAATGCACACAGTTTCCTTTTTCATGCATCTAAGCAATATAAAAATAACAAGTAGTACCATCAGCTTAAACACTTCCATACTAATGTTTCTTTATGTATAAGTGGGAATTCATAAAGAATGTGTACAGTATAAAACAGGGTAAGAATTCTGAATAATGACAGGTATGTAACAATCAATTTTCATAAAGTTTTCTTCAATTTAAAAATTTTACAGCTTAATTAGTATCAAAAATGTAATTTTAGTTTTTTCATTAAAATAAACAGATCCAAAAAAAATTCACTTGTCACATTGTATTTCAGAAACACTTTGACATTTGTCATTTTAAGAGCTGTTAACACAAAACAGTGATTGATGTGTTTTCGAAATTAACTTGTAATTATTGCAAATAAATCTTACAGGCAACTATTATAAAATTAGAACACAAATAATGTATTTAAGTTTCTTTAATGCTTATATTTAGTGTGAACACCTTTGGTATCAATAACAGTTTGGCATCTTTGTGACAATGAGTTTAAGTCTCTGGTGCAAGTTGATTCTCTTGTTTTCTTGAAGTCACGTCAAGAGGTTTTCTTTAGTACAATTGGAATTTTTGTCAAGCATGGATTTCTAGCAAATCCAAGATTTGTTCATGGGGTAAAGATATGGCCACCATTCGATTTGCTGGAAATATCCTTAGTTTTCTTTCTTTTGCCAAATAAGCTCAACATTTCTCAGAAGTGTGTTAGTTGTGTAGTTGAATATAAAGTTTTGCCAAATCAGCATTTTTCCAAAAGGTACAGCATACTATTATACTGTGGTTTCTACAGTGATCAATGATTCCACCAATTTTTTGAAGATGGCCACACCATTCATAGATAATGCACTCCAACCCATCAGAGAGCCTTCTGATTTGAAGTATGTATATGTTAAAATGTAGATTCATATGTCTAACGTAACTAGTATCATGATGAATGTTATTTTGGAAAAGCTAGTCTCTTTGCTATATCCTTTGTGCAAAGTATGGACTTTCTTGTTACTACTATTTATGAAAGCATTCTTAAGACTGTACTTCCTGAAAATAACCAGCAAGATTGTTTTGGAGTTTTCCTTTAACTTTTACTTTTGAATATTCTCTTCAGTGAGCTTTATTTCTTCATCACTTGCCTTATCTGATGATACAAGACTGGCTTTCCTTATATCTATTTAATTTATACTTCACGGTACTTGGTAAATAGCCTTTTGCAATTCTTCTTCAACTCCAACAAGCTTTGTGTAAAGATTTGACTATGACTCTTTGTTTCAGAATTTTAATGACAACAACACACTATATTAGCTGTACTTTTAAATAAAGAAAAGTCATCCCTTCTATAACTACATGAAAAAAATCAGAATGTGAAAACCTTGTGTTTTTGTAAGTGACGACTATTATAGAAACTAAAGACAATTATGTGTGACAATGTTGCACCACTTTGTAGTTGCTAAAATCAGACATCTTGAACAAGTTTAAAAACCTACTGCACTTAATCACTTATGATAATGTGTTGATCTTCTCTTAAAATTTTAAATCAATTAAATATGTACTACATTGGTCATGGATAAAGTAAGAAATTCAGTAATTTTCACGCTTTTTTTCCCAACTTTTTAAACTATAATGTTTGTATTTCATTGGCACAAATCAAAACTACAGGTCCACTGGAGCATTCTAATAAATTTACAAAGTACTATACATATATATATATCTATGTATATTCTTATATGTATATATGAGATGGTAACAGTTTTTTGACAAGTTTGAGATATAAAACAAATGGAAGCATATTGGAACTTGTTATATCTATATATTGATTTCAAAAAAGTCAATAAGTACCAATTTATTAGAAACAGGAAAGGCATACTGTTGTAGTTTTTCAAACACATCCCTCCGAGAATGGTTTTCTTGTTTGTGGGCAAATCTCAAATTCCTCATATCTTTGCAGAATAATTCAATACCATAAGAATTCTCCCCACGACTTGTGGCTCCACCTACTTTCTCAATACGACTAACAACACCCAAGGGAACATCACAAAAATATGCAGAATCCTGAAAAAGAACATAAATTTGCATATTGTTTTATAAAATGAGTCTACAAGTGATCAAATGATAATCTGCTTATATATATGCTCCTATCAAACATAATGACCAAATGATAATTATATATTTTTTTTATATACACATAGAAAAAAAATAAAATTACACAAGTAACATGTAAAAAAGATGCAATAAAACTGACTTAATAAACTCTTACCAATCCAACATAACTATTAATGTATCTACACACTGTCCTACATTCATTAGCTTCTACAAGTTAAATAAAAGATCTTAGTTTCATTGATAAAAAACGTTTAACTACTGTATGTCATTCTTTATACACTTAATCTAGAATATCAAAAGGAATTGTACATGTGTATAATATCATTTTAACTACACTGCATATGATGTACAAAGTTTCCAACAAGACTTTTTGTTCAGTGCCAGAGCTAAACATGTCGGGTGGATAGCAACAACAGTCTCGATTGTACTGTTACTTGTATCACTTTTTGCAAGGCACTAAAGATTTCCTTTACCCTACAATCTTGGCTCAGTGTGCATGTCATGACCCTTTACAGAGTTATGTTGAAGATTTAAATAAACACCTTTATCATCAATATATGTCAATAAACTTGGAATTAAATTGTAGTTCATAATTCAATATTTTATAGCATCTATGCTTCAATTTCTTAATTTCAAAAGGAAATATTTAACTAAATCCTCAATCTTTACTTCTCTGTGTCACATGACACACCTCCCCTTTCGATTCTACTTTCTGGTTTTTCTCTTTTTCCTTTTATAGGTTTCGGAATGTCCAACCAATTAGAAATACAAATTTCATGACAGGCCAGAATCTTCAAATGTCTTTATTTTCTGAGATATCATTAAACCTATTACACCTACTATAGAAGCTCCTTCTTTCTTCTCATGCTTTTGAAGCCACTTATTTACTTACACAAACTTGTCATGTAAACATGTGTATGTCCAATAGGAAGAAAATTTTGAGAACTACATAAATCTGATGATTTTCTGTTTATTTTTTGGGGTCATAGCCACTATTATGCAATATCTTGATACATGTGTATATTAAAGTTGGTGCACTGAGTAGCAGTGGAATTTCTACAACCTATTTGTTAGAAATAGTTAGAAAGTGAGATAAATTACAGTTGTTTTCAGAGATTCTATTCTAGTGCCTGATACATTTTAGTGTTCTAAAATGCATTTCTGAAAGCTACGTGAATTATGTTTTGGACAACCAACATAATTAGAAAAAAGTAGAGTTACAAAAGCAAGCACCAATGTGTAAAATGGCCATGGCATAATGTAAGTACTAAAGTCTTTCTTTTTTATGTATACTTTTGTTTATTGTTATATGTTTTTTAACAAAAGAAACCAATATATAAAAATTAGAAATTTATTTGGTTAGATAAGAAAACTAAAGTGGAAAAAACATTTATATTAAATGCATATCTACATACAAGGCCATAATAAGTATATTTCTTTATAGAGATTATATAATATAATCAACTACCTATGAGGAGCAATTACATCAATGAGTGTCACATAAACTAAATCAGTGAATCAGAATTATGATTAAGTAGATAAGTCAGAATTTGTTTTTCCCGATTGTTACTTTTTCGGTTATTCCAACTACTTAACTCTTTGAGTGCATAATTAAATTTTTCTGGTGGGTTCTTGAAAAGCATCAATTATACACTAAAAAATGAAATTCAGAATTTGACCTTTTTTAGTACTTTTTTCAATATCAAAATCCATTAGTTACACTTTTGGTACTAATGCCGGAAATTCAAGGGTGTGTGAGTATCCCGACTGTCGCACTATGAAAAAAAAAGTTTTTGCGACACCATGGGCTAAATCCACTTGTCACACAAAAAGGTTATAAATGTCAAGTCGGATAAATTGGATGATAGCATCCAAAGGGATAAGCAGCTGAAATACTGTTATTATTTTTTTGTTGTTGTTGTTAAGTATAAAACTATCTATCCTTTTCCCAATTTCATCTTTACAAGTTGTTTGTGTCACCTTAAGTTTGTTCAGTTTTGGTGATTTCAGAGACTCATGATTTAGATGTCCTGGGTGTGATCCCCATTGCTGCCAAACTTGCTTACTCTGTCTTTGTTGTGGCAAAGCAATTAAGGCCATCTGCAATTATTGTCACTTATTTTCAATTAATTACTAGAGTGAAAGTAACTGTCTGGTAGCATCTGCTACCAACTTTGTTTTATTTTTCTGGTTGGCAATAACCTCTCCTTCCCCCCCCCCTTTTTTTGCTTGTATGTTTGAGGCACTGTAATAATCAATTAATTAACTAATCAAATACCTCTTATTGCCCAGTTATACTTGTGTAATCTATGTTATTCTGTGCACATTTGGCTTTTAAACTTTATAAAGATGGAACAATTGACAAATATAACCAAAATATATATTTTACCCATGCTTTTGCTTTTCACTTGTGGTGCGTTTAAAGTATGTTTATAAAAAAGTAAGAAAATACACAATTGCTGTGTAGCTTCAATAAACTCACCTTCGTTATCATGCCAAATACTTTTAAAAGTAAATGATTTCATTCACAATATCAAAATACATCTTAGACACTGCATTATAAAATTATTTATGCAAATATACAGTTTGATATTTTATGCAATGTATTTACACATGTCAAGATGTATACAAGCAATTTTATGTATAGAATAGCAAGACAATATAAATATGTAACAAATTTGCATTAGAAATTTTTCATAACTTTGTTGCACAATACAAAAATCAACTGAATATAAAACACTTGTCTCAGATTTTTTGTAAAACAATAGGATTGTTTTTCATATTTTATGTATTAATTTAAAATTGTTTAATCATTGTTAAATAAACTGTATGTGCACTAATAAAGTACACATTCATGTATAGTAAAAGTATAAAAAATACAGATGTACTTGCCCTTTACACAAACAATATAGATGTAAACTGAAGATCATGTGACTACTAGTGAATATTTTCAGAAATGTTTACTATAATCATAAGTATAAATACAATAAGTAACAAGTTATACATTAGCTCTAAAAACATCATACCAGCTGTAAAATGTTTGTCGGGTATTAACTTGTCAGAACATTAGACATTTCAACATGTTAGTTCCTAACTAAGGAAACTATTTGTTTACAATGTAACATGTAGTAAAAAACCATAGGCCCTAATTATGGTTATTTTAAGAATAATGATACAGATAGTTCTATGTGTACTTAAAAATATATAAACTGGAAGAAGTGGATGTATTATCTTTGGATTATCTGGAAAAACCATTCAAACATATACTTCCCAAAGTAATGTATTCTCATCTTATTTTGGTAAAGTTAATATAAGGTAGAAAGACTCACATGTTTGCAGTGACACTAGAATTATGCACAAATATAATGTACATGCATACATGAACACACGTAAGCCCACAACACTACTGTACATTATTTAAGATACTTCTAACAATCATAGTGTTCAATTTCCTCAACTTCTGGGAAAGCAACTACACTTTCTTCCAATGAAAATAAAACCACTTACAGTAATAATATTTTATTACACACACATATATATACACTAAAACAAAATATAATTACATAAATTAATGTAAAATGTACAGTAAGTATTATATTACCCTTCATTATATAAGACTTTTATGTTAGGAAGTTTTTGATAAATTTGTGTTGAACTTGCTGTGAAAATTTTCAGTCAGCATCAATACAGTTATCAGCACTATGTGTGTGAGTAGTTTTATTTAATAAGAGGGTAGGGTACAATGGAAATATTTCAAAGTATCACCAAACAATGCTACATAAAAATAAGCTGCATATGTACATCTGTTGACAGAAATGTTAACAATTCACATACCATCAAGTTCATGATTACTTACCCTTTCTGACCCTGATGCTTTAAAGTACAATTTATAATTTGTTACATATAATGTTCCACGAACAGGACCAATGTAAGGACACAAGTAGGTCACATCACGGGCTGAAATCACAAAGTATACAATGAAACAATAAGTAGTAGTTATTTTTGTTTAAGTTGTGACTTCTTACAATGTACCTTTTCTAATATGTATGTTCACACACACAGACTTGAAACAATTTTATATATAATGTAAGTTTTTTAAGACAGTTTTTCTGGCATATATGACATATTTCAAAATATAAAAACATTTTATAAAAGATATCTTACGCATATAGTTCGTTCAACTTTTGAACACGTTTGTTCTACAAAGTAATACCAACTATACACTAAACATTGAAAACTTACACCAGTTAGACATATTCAGGGAATATTGTAATTTTTTCAAATGTATTTTCTTGAAATACTTTAACTTAGTCAAACAGTGATTACTTCTCAATAACAGTTTTAGATATTCTTCTTCAGCAAATTTTCTTGAGAAAACTATGTTTGTAATCATTATTTTCTAGTATGAATACCAGACTTTAATATTAAAGATACTCTTACTAAAAAACATAAAATGTAATAATGAAAAATACAATACAACATTTTGGAATCTTATGAACAAATGATGTGTTTTAAAAAATAAAGTGCAGCATTAATAGTTCACATTGATGCAAAGTTCTAGAAACTGAAACAATAAACATCAAACTTATAGCACAATAGGAAAATATTACTTACTGCAAAAACATTTCAATTGTAATATCTACAGGAGCTATTATATATGTATGAGTTTAAATGCCAATTATGCTATTTTTATGACAAAACATATATATATATATATAAATTGGACACCAACAGACATTCATAAGATTTACAGTAATTATAATCCTCTTGAGAATCTGGTGTGAAGTAACAGATTCATCAAGTACAAGTTGCATTTTATTCGACAACTATGTACACAATGAAAGATTACAGCAGATAAAAGAATTTTACTAGAAATTTTCAATTTCATACAATACTGAAACTACACGCTTATCATGTACTTTATGTTCTAAAAAATAAAATACTAATAGATAAAAAATAACTGCAGCTATTGCATGATGAACACCTACAGTGTATTATAAACACTTTCCAAAACATCTCATATGTAAACCTATACAGAGTAATTGAGACTTGGACAACTTTTAGTCAAGTAAACCATGTAATGTGGGTCCTAAATAAGAGTTACTTCTTAAACTCTGATCAAGTTCATTCTTACCATATTTCCCAACTTGTTGTATATACCATACGAACATCTATATAGGAAAATGAGATTTTTCTCATATACGTGTACGTATACATACATTTATGAAATCCAAATAAAAAATTTCAACAAACTGGAGTACCATGTTATATAATTTTGTGTTTATACCTTTTATAAATATTATACATATAATACAATTAGATATATTCTGGAAACCTTACAAAAGTAGTCGTGTTAGCACAGATAGAATTGAATAACCTACAACACATAAACCTAATACTATGAAAATTGCAAAACAATTTGCATGTATCCTGTTTGGAAATAAGGATGAATCATGAAAAGCAAAACTAACATGTACTTACTTCCTTTATTAATATGCATAAATACATGATACATGTGTATTTATATTAACTCATAAAACATATTCATTTTATTTCATGTTGATTATATACTTCTAACTCTGTTATATATTAGTTTTTAAAAATACCTCGCAAGTTCCCTGGGATGACTTCTCCAGGCAACAGTGGAGGTTCATCTCCTCTATGAACAGACTGAGATTCTTTCTGTTTTGTCTGAAAATAACACAAACATAATAATTAAATGTAGCTTTTTACCAACATGCAAATGGATTAAACAATGATAATACATAAACAAAGCAGCTAATACCTTGTGTACTAATATCTAAATATACATAGAGATAACAGTTTAAAATCACAAAGGAATTTCAAAGAAAAAAATCCCATAGAAGTAAATTACTTAAACCACCAAAAGTAACAAGAACTCGCAAATATAATTCATAAGATAACAAAATTAATGGACCAATAAAGGTATCAATACTTAAGAATATTAAAACTTACCAAACATCATAAACTTGAGTCAAATTATTTAATTTAAATCTTAGATCCCATAAAACTAGATTATTGATAAAATACAAAGTTCTTTGACACAATGATTTAATTACTGCAATAACATTCAAACCTTTATACATTACGAAAAAAAAAAGAACAGTGGATCAACTAAAAATATTATTTAGATATATTATAATGATGATCCTATCAAGTTGAATTTTAACTAGTCTTTAACAGTATAAGATTATACAAAGTTAATGATACTCTTAATATATAAAATACTGAATACTAGATTACATTCTATTGCACACATATACCATGAATAGTAGTTGTTCTTATTCACTAAAGCACCTTAAAATAACCAAATAGTTCAACTATACTTTCTCATGGGCTAACTACAGTCTTCGATCTTATGGCCGTGTTGCGAAATATTAAACAAACGTTTCACCTTTCTTTTTCACAAGCTTAACTGCCACTTTACAATAAACACATGCTTCGACCAAGCTAAACTATGGACTTGGGACGAGTTGCAAAATAATAGCTGTGAAATGTTAATGAAAGACGAAGGTTGAACACACTTGTCAAGGGCAACTAACAATGCCTGCATATCAGTGATAATGGAGAGGAGTCTCACATAAAATGATTCTAACTCTAGATAGATATGCAAGTTTAAACAATTGTGTTCATGGGTGTGAAATGTAATCTGGTACGACTTAGTTGGAAAGATGTTTATTCGAGACGGACTATACATGATAAGAAACTGTATACACAGGTAACCTTTCCTTTAACCTTTTACATTATTTGACATCAAGTCCTTGGTCACTGGGCATCAATCACTAAAGAAAGAAGGGTCCACTCTAATTGCTGGACCAATCACCTCAAAGTCTACACCCCATAAGTTTGAATGGATTATGCTGCAAAACCATATAAAAACTGATGTCTCTGGACCAAAAGTGTGGTTGTCCCCTAGAGCAGGGTTGTTCCTAGCCTCGAGGTTGCTCCAGTTCTTTTAGCTAAGTTCCCGAGATATACAGACAGAAAATGGCAGTTTATCTATACGTGCAAGACTTGCGCTACACTAACTCCATGTAAGTTTTAATTGCTACTCTCCTTTCACTAGCAATATTGCCAGGCAGAAATATGATGTGTAATGTAAAAGTCGTTAAAAGTTAAATAAGTAATGTTGATAGCGTTAGAAACATTATGGATCTAATATAAGTTGCGGAAATTGTAATCTTTTATGTAATCAATGTTATTGTTTTTCATTCATAATATGCCTAGATATCTTTATGTTAATAAAGTGTATATCTTTTGGTGTAGAATTGGACTCGGTATCATTAATTCCTTGCTTTACTCATAAATTTCCTTGAGTTGGTCGACTTGTGTACCCACTCGCGACTGCATACCCTGGATATTTAAATAAATCTATTGTATTGGTGTCTTGCCACCTCAAACAATGCTCTCTCATTCCCACGATAGAGCAGCCTGTTACATCAATGATTTTCAAGTTATTTGCTATGAATCTATTTCCATCCATTTAATACAACATACATCATTGTCTAAGAGAGGCCTCAACAAATCCCGGGCACCAGGTCACCATGGCAACTAAAACTTTCATCATGGTGCTTAGTATTTACAAACATTGTATTAATGAATATGGCTGTGTTAAATAGAACTCAAGGTCCCAAGTCCAGGATGAGAAAGGAGGAGGGTTGGGTGCGGAGCTAGTAACTCCACCCCGTAAAAACCAACCTGCTACAAGTAACTGCAACAACATCTTCCGTTGGCGAGGTGGTGTTGCGGCCCTATGCTCCACTGGGAGTTTACAGGATTAAAAAAAAAAAAATAGAACTCAAATCTAGAACAGTTCTGGACTCTTGGAAGTCCGAAACTATTTTTGCATTCTTTGAGTCCTAAATCAAACTTTGTTTCTATAATTTTAATGGCAGATTCAGCACTTTTGTTTTTTCAGGAATGAAGTGCTGCAGTTGTATGACACGTTACTAATTTTGTGCCATTTTGTTTTTCTTCTTTCTCACAATTCAACCAATCAGTGCATGTGTTTAGACTCAGACAGGACCAAAGGTAATTAGTTCAGGTAATACTATCAAGTGGTTATTGATATCATGTGATCATTAGCATATACTTGTTGCTGTGAAAGAAAATAAATATATATTTCCTGGTACAAACAGTAGTAAAGTTAGGTTAGACACACCTGGCTTCTGAGTTTTTAGGCTGACACCTAAATCTGAAAATATTTGTCGAAGCCTGGTCTAAGACAATAATGTAAGATATTTAAACAGTTTTAAATACTGGCTAAGTTTGAGTAGTAACACTGATATTGATTTTTTTTTTCATTTGATGAACATAAAAAAAAATCTCATGTTTACAAATATTACAGCTCAGTAAGACCATTGTGTATTTATTAAGAAGTAAAAATACTAATTTCATACCATATATATACATATATTCCGGTATTTAAGTAAACTACTTTTACTTGATAGTGACGAAACCTTCTCCAAACATTCTACATTTATTATTTTGTTAAACTTGTAATAAAGTTTTCTTTCTTACCCATTCAACTCATCCTTAAACAGTATAAGCTTATTTTATTTAAAGTTATCTCATGTCTTTTTTATTGAAGAACATTTCTTTAGCTTTCAAATAGATGGAATTTAACACACAAATATTTTCATGATTCACAAACTAATGAAACTGAAAGGAACTTTACATAAACTACAAAAACTTTAAACCCATATATTCATTTTACCATTATATGATAGTCTAATTCTTGCTCTATCCAATCATATTTAAACTTTCTCTATACCCGTTTTGAAAGCTGTGTTTCATTAGAAAAAATAAAGTTATTCTTTTGGATGAGCAGAAAAATTCTAAATATATGTTGGTTATTTTGTTTATAAACAAAATTCTGTGTAACTGGGTAGAAATGAAAACATAATTTTTCTTTTTCCTTCATGAATTACACTAAATGTCAGAAAATGACAAAATTTTGATTCTAAAATATTTCTAAGTTAAAATTGTTGAAATATAGTCACAATTTACATATAAAATAGACCTTAAAACTTATGTCTCAAAAACTTTTATGAAATTTCAAAAGAAAAGCCACTGGAAACTGGTATTCAGACTTTAAAAACAATAAAAGATTTATTTATTTATCACTCACCTATTGCAACAATGCTGTACACACTTTCCAGAGTGTTATTCTAGATAATTCAGCATTGTTTCACATGTTTATGACAATGTTGGGGCCTTAAATGTTGTATACATAACCACATAGGTACTCAAACTTTTGTAACCAACCAAGGGAAATGAATAATCATAAATCATTTCATGAGAGAACTTAGCCAAAGTAAAAACCTAGTATTTCTTAATAATCTTTAAGTAGTTTAAACTCAAAGTAAACCAGCATGAAAATTAAAATAACATTAATTTGTTTTCAAACTCTCTTCAGATAATACAGTATTATTGTGTTAACAAGTAAGAATGTTTAACTTCTATAAATTAACTGCAGTGATATTTCATTTTTACAAAAAGTTGGCTGTGCACCACTGTAACCAAATCTTCAGTATTCTTTACACGAAAGAAGAGACTTTCACTATAATAATACAATATTTTGGATTAATCAGTACTGACCATATAGTCCTGAAGTAACCTAAGTAAGTGAAACAAAGTTAAAACAACATTAATATACACTATAAATGATTATCTAAGTCAGGTTATAATCCAGTGATTTCAAAGCTTATGTCTTTGTTTCTACTAATGTGATTAATACGAAAATAAAAAGTTAACGAAAAATTTCAAACTTCTTAATTAAAATTAAACATATATATATAATTATTCATTATGATATTTAGAAAAAAATTATACCTCTGGTAACAGGATACCTGTTTTTACATTTGTTTTAAAAGTCTTTACTTATGAGAGTTATATCATTTACATTTTTACTTATTTTAGACATCAGGAATATGAAAACAACCTTCTAGCTACTACACAATGACATATCAATCCTGTAACAAGTCTATATTACAAGAGCTGAAACTGCCCTAAGAATACTGATTTTGATAAATGAAAAAAATCTCTATAAAGTCTATACACACATTCTTACAGTGTCTGAAAAAAGGCAAGCCAGGAACATTTAATTAATAGTAATACTGTTGTATTAAATATTCAATTATTGGCTAAGATTTTAACCGAATTGCTGTAAACTGTGTTAATTTCAGAGATCCTCAAAAAAAGCTTTTATGGTAATTAATAGCCTAATAAATACACTGTTATTTGATGTTTCTTTTTTGATACTATATAGTAGTGTAAGGACACCCGGCTGTTTTTGTAATTAATTTCTGAAAAAAATGGAGAGGAGGGGGTTCATATAACATTAAGTAACAGTTATTATTTTCTAAAAAATATGAGTGCAAGAGGTTCAACCACACCTGGACCTCTCCCCTAGAATCACAACTGCTTACACAACACTAAAGAATACCTGAAAAAATTGAGGGGATCAAGACTCCTGGACCTTTTCCATAGATCTGCATAATATTAGATCTTATACAAAATTAAAGAATACAATTAAGCAATTATAAATTAGAAACATAACACAAAATAGAAAACAGTAAATTTAAGTTTAATTTATCACTTAAGTAGCCAGAAAAATAGGGGTGGAAGCTGCCAATCAATTCACAATAGTGATAATGGCAGTGACCCTTAGTAAATTTGCAATAACAAAGACAGGGTGAGTAATTTTATAGCATTGGGAATCAAGCCCAAAATCCTGAGGCACCTGTCCCATTATGTAGCTTTATGCTTAACAGAAACATAATGGCAATATTTCGATTACCTGAAAAGTTGAAAACAGTAAATAATCAGAATCCATAATTCTGAATAGTTGATTATTTTCATGGCAGTTGATTTAATTGTAATTCTGATTAACTGATTATTTGGATAATATAAAACAGTAATAATCAGAAACACTAATTCTGATTAATTGATTAGTTTATGTAACACTAATCTATGTATTATAGGTAACTGAATAAACTTGCCAGCTCTAGATAATGGAATTAGTAGAGAAACATTTGAAACCTTTGTAAGTTAATATTTTCTTAAAATGAAAATGTATTTTCAATAGACACCTCTACTCACAAATATTTTTCTTGGCTTGTAATGTCCTCTATCAGCACAAATTTTTGCTCGCCTTTAGCCTTCTTACTCCCACTTATTACTGTATACTAACATGCAAATGATCATGCAGCAACACTCCACCAATAGGAATATGACATAACCCTTATCATGCATGCGTTAATCACTTCAAGATTGGTCATAACTAACTAAACCAATTCACAATGGAAGTGGAGAAAATGGATGGGAAATATGAGAGGAGGCAAGTATCAATTGGAAATACATTTTCAGTTTAGGAAAATGTTAACTTCTGATATGATATCTTACCTCCTCTCACAAAAAGCTAGAATCCCACATTAAACTAGTGGAGGCCTGGTAAGAAGATGATCTGGATAACTTTAGGAAGTTTCCAAAGGAATACCATGAGGTGTGATAAGGATCAAAAACAATACCCTCAGTGGGAGACTGCACAACTTCTGAGCCAGGTATACTATTCGCCCTTTAGTAATGTGTCGCCAGAACATAATGGGCAGAAACTTAGAGAGGTCCCCAAAAAAAATACAGAGTTAATGGGATCCCCTGGTGTTGAGTGGCTAGGGCATGACAGGTCATAAATAGGAGTTCAACCTCAACCAACACCTGGCAGTATGTGAAATTGTACATTAGATCTGTAGCAAGAAGAGGGTCCTCCACCTTTCACCTCAAAAATGGGTACTGGCAGGGAAGAGGGGCTGCTGTACCAAGAACCCGACTTCAGATGTGTGAACCTCCAACACATGCAACACCAGATCCACTGGGAACTGACATCTGGCAGATGACAGGAAGGAGGAGAGCCCAGTTGAGTGTTTATCTCTGGTCCAAAACCTGGTAGCATTGAAAATTTGGTCATCCAGTCTGCAGTAGGAGGAGGATACCCAGTCTTACACAAGCAGAAAGTCATGTGTCTCATCCAGCTACAACCAACACCAGATCCACTGGGAACAAACATCCAGCAGATGGTAGGAATAGGGACTGCAATTTTGGGGTTACATTTCCAGTCCAAAATCTGGTAGAATTGGGAATTCATCACCCAGTCTGTGGCTGGAGGAGAGTACCAGCCAAACACATTGAGGACTTATGTGGTTGAACTGTCTCTGATGAACACCAGAATGGCAGGAAGGAGGAATGTCTCAGCCAGAAGGACAAACTGCTTTTTTGTTAATTTTTCATTTATACATATGGTGGAGTGCTACATCCAACACCTGATAGCATCAGGTCCATGGTGAGAAAGACATCATGCCACAACCCTACTCTCAAACTGAGTGGTATTGTGCACACTCAGGAGGACGTACCTCCAAGGTCTACCATTCCAGTTGGCAAGGACTCCTATACTCTGCTATAAGGAAGTAAATGCGTTGGAGAATCCAGATGACAACAGCACTGGAGACAGTGCAATGGGTGACCGCGATACCCTATATTGAAAAGCAGAGAAATCACGTTGACGGAGTGCATCATCTGAAGAAAGAATCTCAATGTTTCAGTCATCTATCATATTCACAGGTTGTACAGTGTGGATGTAAGATTAAGTATACCTGGTCAGGCAACACTTGCCATAGAGTGGGATCCAAATATGTGATAAAGGCCCCTGCAAAGAAAAATGAATGGAGTACTTACTACCTCAGATAAACAGTTGAACTGGCAAATATGACTCCGAAGAATGATGGAAAACAGTCATGGGAGAGGTGAGGATTTCACAGAAGAAACAAATGGATTAGGGAACCACATGTTATATACCACTGGAGAGCCCTGACCTGATAAAGGAGGTGGGATCAGAACATTTGAGAAGGGCAGGGTGGAACATATATATATATAGGAAATGTAAGGTAAGTACAGAAGATAACATACCTGAATAACAAACCCTCCAAAGGGGAAAAAGGTCTGAACAAGTCCCCTGAAATGACACATGACTAAGAGGCATAATCAGGAGGGCGAGGAAAAAGCTTTCCAAATCCAAACCTTAAAGATCATTGAAAACCTTGTTAGGACAATCGTCAGTGTGTTCTGATTGTAGCATAAAAGTGGTGAACCCCCAACGGATCAGAGCCGTCATTTCATGCTCTACAAATTGTGATGTCAAGCCGTTAGATGTAGTAGGTAATTCTGCTGCTGCAGTAACAGCAGTCAGAGTTGTGACCACCCAAAATTGAGTGTGCATAACTCCCAAAAGTGAAAGAGGAGAATAATTCTCTGTATATACAAATCACTAATTATTTTATGAAGGTTTATTTTAAACGACAATTTAAAATTTATATATGTGACAATGAGAAAAAGCACAAAACTTTGGAAAAAGGGACCTGTAAGTGTTGGTTTATCTAAATTTTAAGTGCCCCATCTACTAAACATGAAAAAACCCTCAAAGCCAGCTCTTATTATTTAAATATTTATCAAACCTTCCCTTAAACTCCCTTAAATTTACTGCATTCACCACATTTGAAAGTACCGTGCCAAAATTTATACTTATGTCCCCTAGTCCTAATATTCTCACCATTAAGTATGAGAACACACAATGTATCACCATTATCAATTCTCTAAACAATCTTAAACACCATAAGGTTGGCAAGGTCCAATGTCTGCTAATGAATAAAACACAATCTAGTATTTTATAAAATCTTAACAAACCAAAAACTAAAAATTTGTTTCACAAGGTGAATTATTTAATTAAAATCTTTACCATTTGTTTAATATTACATTGGGAAGAAAGGTAAACAATGGATTTTCTTTTTAAAAGCAAACAAGTATGAAATGTTTATTTAAAATCTCACTATTTTGGTGATTTAGAAAGCATACTTATTGCCAAAAGCTGAATGATGTAAGTGCAAGAGACACTGTGCATGGTTTCTATACAAGGTTAGCTGTGAAATAGTTACTTCATAGTCATGTCAGATCATAAATTCAGTTAAATACTAAAAGTAATACAAATAAAAATTGAAAACTTGATTCCACAGGTTACTGTCATCACAGTACAGTAATTCAGTAAAGGTATGCATACATTGCAGCTGATGACACTATTCCAATACGCCTATTTGAAATCTACTTACTTTATTGAGCTAAACAGAACATCTTCACACACAATACTAACAGAATTATCAAGTATGTTATCAAAAAGTTATTTATTATCTATTTCTATTCCCTATGTTTTTTTATAATGTACAACAGCACTTTTATTACTTCAAAAGAATATAATTATCAAAGATAATATCAAACATTATCAACTGTTGATGTCTTCTTCATGAATTATATTAAAACAATTGCATCTGGGATAATTACACGTCTGCAGTATTATGCATCCTGTTTTATATCATAAAGGCATATAAAGAATGAATTACAGCTAAAATATTAATGGTTAAACAATTATTTGATATATAGTTGATATATATGGTAATGTTAGTGTTGCATGCAGAAATTTATTGTCTAACTCAAAAACTTGGACCAAAATCCATTCTAAAGAACTAAATCAGGCTTAATAAATGGAATGAGAGTATTATTACTACTAGCAGTAGTAGCACTAATGTATTACTAGTAAGACACATAGTGGGTATAAGCAACTCAGTCTGCCAACATTTACAATATTATAATTTATGGTACCTAGAGTAAATTAGACTAAGCTAGAGTTAGAGGACACTGGACAGTAGTTTGTGTAATTGGAATTCGCCCAATAATATATTTCCATTACTTTTGTATTTTACTGCACAATGCAAGCACTTGTACTAGGTTGTACGGCCTTTAATGTCTAGTTTTGTCTAGGTAGTAATAACTTGGCTATATTATACATGTATGTATATATATACACCAGCACACACTCATGCAACAATACAATATTGGCAGTAAAAGACTAAAGTTCAATCCAATATTCACGACACAAGTACCTTTAGTTCTTGAACTTGAAGATGTAGATCTGTAGAAGCAGAAGACGACGTAGAACAAAGTGATTTTGATGGCGAATTAGAACCTTTTGATCGTGAACTTCTACTTCCACCAGATTCCACTCCCAGTTTAGAATTCAAAGAACTAGATTTTGATTCAGATTCTCCCAATGAATCCGAGCTTGCATGTCTTGATCGAGATGCAGTATTCGACTCTAATAATTCAGCGCTTCTTGACTTCTCCATTATTTTGTTAACGTGTCACTAAGTAAGAGTAAGATGTTAAGTTACTAATATACTTTAATACTACGTTAGTAGTTATAAAAGTATAATAATTTAATACTTATATTGCAACATACACTAGACTACTTCGAACGTATTAACCCTAAAAATAGTATAATAAATACTCCTTGCGACTGGGAATAATCTGCCCTCTGTAATATTATATACTAATCGGTAGATGTAATTTATACCGACAATTTAAATACAAAGTTTATTTTTAAAACTTCTATTTGTGAATGCTATTAACATTATTTTTACTTATTAAACTTTTTATCTACCTATATTTCATCTCTGAATGTTGTGTGTCGCCGTTTATAAATATTTTTACTACGTATTTGTTGTTTCAAAAACTGTACTAATTCATCTGTATGTCTTCCCCTGTCGTACCCTGATGGCTCAGCGGCAAGTCTGAGGGCTTATAACACTAAAAATCGGATTTAGACACCTGCTGAATTTGTTTGTTTGTTATGAATTTCGCGCAAAGCTACACAAGTCGTCCCTAATTTAACAGTGTAAGACTAGAGGGAAGGCAGCTAGTCATCACCACCCACCGCTAACTTTTGGGCTACTGTTTTACCAACAAATAGTGGGACTGACCGTCACTTATAACGCCCCACGGCTGAAAGGGCGAGCATGTTTGGTGTGACGAGGATTGCGAGTCGAGCGCCCTAACCACCTGGCCATTCCGGGCCCCCAACAGCTGAGGGCATAACTCCAATATCCGAATATGAAGTTTTATACTTAACAATGAACAAACAATTTATACTTATATAGTGATAGTTACAATTACGTATTCTAGTAAATTAGATATAGTTTAAATATTATTATGAATCGATTTTTGACTGAATTCATTTGACAAGAGAATCAAAACGGCATTGACAGGGTTGTGGTATTCCCAGATGTATTGATTTGTCTTGGAGTAATCGGGTAGATTCTATAGAATAACAGGAGATTCTCAAAAACAAGTATTGCGTCACATGTTTGTTTTAGCGCAAACTTAAGCTACACAGTAGGTTATCTGCGCTTTCTCCATTAAGATTTATGCGTTGTAAGTCCGTTAACTTACCGTTGACTCACTAGGGAACATTACAGAGAAAAGTCTGAATTATCTGATTTCAACTGAATTCGAAGAAAAGAAAGTTTGTTTGTTTGCTTAAGTGCAAAGCTATGCAATGGGATATCTGCGCTGCGCCCACCAAAGGTAGCTAACTCCGATTTTTAGCATTAACAGCCCTTAAGCTTAAAGTTAAGCCACTTGGGGACAGAAAAAAGGGTACTGGGCATAAGCTAAAACACAGGGGAAAAGAACCTTTATTTATTTATTCATTTAAACTTATAAAAAAACCTATATATATCTAGGGTGTATCTACCAGGTGGCTCTCAGACAAGAATTGTGTTGAATATAAATCATTCGAAATATCCAGTTCGACTTGTCATTATTCAGATGTCAGATCTAGAGTGTTGAATCACTAGGCATCGTTCAGTGCTGTATACATTTGTCTGTTCACGGGGGTAGAAAGGCGAGTTACTATAGTCATCCATCTTAAATTAACACAAACCTTGGCGTACCCTACTTCTCCCTAACAATCACTACTGGAGATGATCATACGCTCTCTGAAGGTTTTATGATTCCATTATTTTACATCCACTGTATTTTGGTGCTAGATGCATCCTTAGTGCTCCAGGGTGAATTGTGTTTTTTTTTAAATTGTATATGCATCACCTGTATTTATGTAATGATGTTGTAGATCATCCTTGCTACCCTTAAAAAGATCGTCTGTTCTAGGTATGTGCAGTTTTACATAACATGTGGTCCAGAAAGACGTTAATTTACTTTTGCTCTAAAAAGCTTGTTGTTCTATTTGATTCTTCTACAATAATACTTGATCTGCCAGTGGGGAAGATAGCTGTAAGATTCACTTACATTTCAGTAGGATTGGCCAACAGTGATATAGGAAGCACACGCATCCTCAGAATATAGCATTATAGAATTTTGTATGCAAGACACTGCTCTCTCAGTTAGTTCTCTCAAGCTCAACTCCTACATTAGGTAAATGATGTTTAAGTTATTTTTAAGCAGTAATACTTTCCTAAATTGAATAAGTAAAGTTGAATAGTTTTTAATAAGCTTCTTAATTTGAATAATTTCTTAGGAGAGCTTGGAAAGTTAAATATCTGCTAAAGTATTGCCTTTCATCTTGTGCCATTGTTTACCTTCATTTGTTTTTAAGTGTTAAATAAATATTTATTTCAGTGTAAATTTTAAATTGTATCCCATCTCTTTTTCCCTCCCTCCAAACTCATTAACAGTAAGAAATTCAGAATTAATTTGTTATATATTTTCTAGTCGAATCTTTGTTATTCTGTAGACCTATATCATTCACTCTTAGGGGAAATTAATTTTATCTGTGAATACTACAATGAAAAGTTACCTTTATTCAATCCAATCGGCCATCTGGTCTTACAAATATATTGGCATATTCAACCAACAAATCATTCAGTTTCTACCACTTTGTTGAATCGAGAATGCTTGCCCAATCCTTAACCAGTGACTTCAGATATGTTGGCTATTGTGTACTTCCTCTTGGACGAGGTGAGATAGAAACAGCACAAGTGGTGGCACTAGTTTTGGACATTTCATTATTGCCTGATATGCTGACGACCATTCCACAAGGAAACTGGATAACCAACTGCCAATAATTGCAGGACAACCCTGGGACTTTATCTCTATTTAGACAGATTATCTGTTGAACAGACAAAACTACCAATGATTTTCTAGTACATCAATCCCTAGAATACGAATGTAAGAACCAAGGTAGGAGAGAACTTCCTTCATTCTTCAGTTGACATTACCCACATGTAGTCAGAGATGTGCCTCTCTACTCCCTTTTACTTTATCATCACTCACTAGAACAATGTCAATATTAACTATTTTCACTCAAGTGCTTGATACATGGCAAGGTTAACTAATGTCCTGGCAGCTCATGTATAAACCCGGAACACTATCTCCCGACGCTGTATCTTTATGGGCAATTATTAAACAACACCCAGCTCTGAGAGAGCTGGACTAATCATAAACTTTTTGCACAATCTGTCCACTGTAGTCTCCTAAGTCAGTGGTTAGAATCTGTTCGGGTCCAATTAGTTCCCAGAACTAATGTAGCAGTAGTTACAGCTTGCTGTTGACTCTTCTGCCCCTGCTGTGTAGTTAGCCAAAATTGGTAACTTTTCCTATCTTGTTGAACGCAAGGTATGGGCAATTCACTATGAAGTAATTCTGCTGCTCACAAATAAAGCAGAAACTTTCAGTCCTCTTTTTTAGATGTGGAAAGTTCTACCCACTCACTGGGAGCTACCAAGATACAGACAAGGGTTGGCTAATGGTCAGTTTGTTGGCACAACATTGGCATTAGTAAAGATACATTGGTCCAATGTTGGCTCACTATCTTATAAATGATTATTGGGAAGCTGACACCAAGATAGCAGACGAAGGTTGGCAAAACAATGTTGGCCAAATGGCAGTTTGCACATTAGCCTTACGTTGGGCCAGTGTATTCTTTCAACATTGGCCCAACTTAAACATTCACTTTTTTAACTTTTGACCAAACACTGGCTCAATACTATGGTAACGTTTGTCCGAGGAATTAAAGATTACCTAATTAAAATATCAGCTTGTTAATTAGTATCAGATAAGCAGTTATGGGTAAATATGAGAAGATGTATTGGTGTAAAGAGTTTTATGAATTTTTTATTATTTTCCCCTGCTTATTATTATCATTATTATGGAAATCATTTCATCTTATCAAATGACATATGAGTATAAAATATACAACATAACTTAGAAAAATGACTGTCAGAGTTTGAAATCGAGAAGTGCTGAGGTCGTTAAGTTAAACATCTAACCTGTTCTAGAATATTATCTTTGAATGCAATTAATCAACATTTTTCAGTTAGAGTTTACTGTAAAAGTCATGTTTTGTGGCATTCTAATGCTTTGGGTAACAAATCTATATGTGCCAGCTTTTAAACTATTGAATTTATACTATTACAGACTAATAATATATGTATAAGTTTTGTTATTCCAAATTAAAAATTGGATAAGGGATCAGAGGTCAGTTATAGTAGCAGGTAATATATGAGTATGAAATCATTATGTCTTAACATCTTATATGCATGGTGGGCACGGGTTGGCCCTGTGGTAGAGCTCTTAATTTTAGAACTAGCGATCCTGGTTTGAATCCGTGTGCTAACATAAAATATCCCATATTCTCTGGTGCAACGGTGTTTTATAAGAGGTAGGGCTAAATCCCACCATTTAACCTGATAAAAGTAGCGATAGAGTAGGTTTCCACAAAATCAACAAAAAATTTGTAATATTTTACTTATATTTCGTCAAATGGAAGCATTCCAGAAATGTTTAGTGAACCATATAAGCAACCAACAAACGGATTATATGTTCGTCCAATGTTGGACCATCAGTTAAGAAAATGAATCTTTAATATTGGCTAACACTGAAACAACCTTGATGTGCTATCTGAGTAAGTAATATAAAAATTTGAAATACTATTATTCATGTTTGTTTCATGTTGCCTATCATTTTTGTTACCCATTGAACCTTCTTCATGATAGGGACAGAAGCTTGTAACTGTGCTTGGTTAAGTGACAAGTGGTGCTACCATATGTGGGATTATGATTTCTAGGTCAGAATTTCACCTATCCACTAAAATGATACTATTTGTGTCCCCAACATTTGAGGATGATGCTAGAAGAAGGCTGATCTCTTCTTATGGGAAATTGACTGTCAAATAAAAAAAGATAAGCGTGTGGATTTAGTGAATGTGAATTTGCAAGTCTCAGTGTTAAGGCCTTTGAGTTTTCAACTTACATCAATAATAAAGATGAAGGAATTGTCAATAAATTACTTAAAGTTGCTGATGATATTAAGGTATTTGATGTCGCTGGCTGTGAGGAGAATGTTACTGCTTTACGAAAGGATTTAGATTATTTTATGATATGGGCAAATGAATAGCAGGTAGCTTTTAATTATAAATGCAAGGTCATGCATATGGGTTATTGTAATTTGAATTACAAATATTATCTTGAATGGAATAACCTCAACAGGGTTATGGAAGA